TAAATGATTTACAAAATCAATAACTAGTATTATATCAATATAGCTCGTTGGTAATATATTTTCAACCTCCAACGTGTGGGCACACGTAAATAGGTAATAGGGCTAATGCACAGTGGGAAATACAAAGGCGATCCAATTTGAATATGACAGCATTACTGGTTCTAAATATAGAATTTACTACTCCCGATTAATTCGCCTCCTGATTTACGCTCCGTTTTGCCACACAATATTTTTGGGCATTCAGTGATTCGAAATAATTTTGTATTGCCGGGCAGTGATAAGTCCACTAATTGATAACGATTCGCCCCGAAGATGGATGATGACGTTGGTAGCGAAAAATATAGAAATTGCGAACGCCAATATGAATTTTTCAAGAGTTTTATAGTATTTACGAGTTATTATAAATCTATTATACACGAACATTTGAAGATCTCTTGGAATGCTCAAGCTTAGAAACACAAATTTTTCCCCCCATTTCCGTTACAATTTTAAACAACTAATACACAATTGGCATAGTTCCCAATGAAATTGACAGTATTCAAATTGAAATACTTAAGTACTTATATACAGACATTTATCATACAAATACATTAAAAGTAAGTCAACATTAAGATTGTATAATAACTATCTTTAATATAAAAGCAAAACTAATTGGAAAATATAACAATTTTTCAGGAATGTTTGAAAAATTTACGGTTGGAAGGTTTGGGAAAACATAGAAAAAAAAGAATTATAGAAATATAACATGCTATTTAATGAAGTGAAACATAAATTCCTTTGATCTTTTCGGTTCTCAAAGGTTTTCAAATCTATAGCAATTTCTAGGTATTACCTATACCAAAACATTAATATTTATTGGAAGACTGACATACATAAGTCGAAAAACACTATTTTTGCGTTAATGATGCATAAATTTTCTGTGTTGTGTATAAATTTTATCATCCTATCTTTAATTCTCCCAACTTGAGAAGTGTTACAATATGATCGCTTTGCTGGAAGATATACATATGACGCTTGAAAATTAGTAATCCAATTATCTCGAAATGCCATTTTTTGAGTTGTGTCACTCTCCTTTAGAAAATGAGCGTTATGACAAATGCTGACAGTTTTTATTCAATAAATCGAACAAAACGAAACTGCTGCATACATATATTATTCATTAATCTTTGTCTGGGCATGTGTATTCAATGCATACCTTATGGCCTCATAACCGGAATATCTCTTTTGTTCTAGCTTATTTTTTGTTTAGCCTAAAAGTTAATAATAATTTCCACTGTTCCGCTGCAGAGAAGCAGCAACAACAATTACACACGCACTGCTGGCCAGCGGCACAATTACCGTTTGCTGGCATTACAACAATGTGACAATGGGGCTGTCCCGGCGGACTATGGTAATAATTATGACTACGCGCCTATGATTATGATTATGATTATGACTGCGACTGGGACTGAGACGATGATGATGATGAGCACGCTGTATGCATGTCAAGTGTGCCGTGGGTACCGGAAAATCAATTGACTGAGTGACAGGCGGACAGTTCGAGATGTACTTTCACAATAGCCATAGATATAAGCAAGGCCCACCGGCCGATCGAATTTCTGAAGTCCACAAAAAAAAATATTAGAAAAAAAAACGGAATCATGTCGAGGTCAAATGTTCAATCAGCCTCCTTTCGTTGGTTCTACAGAGAGAAAAAGGTAAAACAAATTGCGTTTGGCATTTGATTTGAACTCAGGGTACCCTATTTCCTTAACATTGAACGGTCACACTATTCTAAGTTAAAAACACAGCTGTATAAATATTCTATTTAGTCTATTTAACATATTTACATATTAGTTGTCTTCTTAATAATGCTTATTTTCAGTAATTTACCATTTTTACAAGAACTAATTCGTGTAGAATGGTCACACTGGCCATAAGCTACTGATCTTTTCTTTGACACAGCTGACAGTAAAATTAACAGATCATTTCATAATAGTATTGAAAAAAATCTGCAGAATAGATGACAGCACTTGAAGATGTATTTTCCCCGTGTAACTGGATAATCGATTAGAAGAATTGCCGGTTTTTCTTTTCTCTGAGTTCTTTTCCCTTGTTCGTTCTTTCGATTGTGACTCTGACTAACTGTAAAGAAAGAAAGTTCTACAGCAAGTGGCGAGCTCAAAGCTGATGACATCACGCTCCACCGGCAAATTAATGCTCCCCACATACAATAAAAAAGAAACACGCATGTGGAGAGACTGGCGAACAAAAAGGTCACAACATGTGTTAAGTCTAATCTCTCCGAAAATGGAATATGCCACCTAGACGAAAGGCAAGAAGACAACGTGAAACAAATTGTCAGCAAATTTGATTTGATGCCCGTTTGACAGCAATCACAAAAAAAAAGAACCTTCTAAATATGACTAGTCAGCTGTTGCTATTTTCAAATGCTGAGAAATGATAATACCAAATAACAATTAAGCTCCAAAGATTTGTAAATAGCTATTTCGAAAACCAGGTGGTTTCTTTTTATACCTTTAAACTTAATTAAATGAACGTAGTATACATTTAAAAGTAGGTTTAAGGCCTAGAAACTTTTAAAAATAAATAAATAAAAATTTATTTTTAGGAATAAGTATACGTTTATTGAGAACTTACTTTTAAAACCCCGAAAGATAACAAATTAAGACATTAACGGATCGATAAATAACAGTTTAATGATAAATTTGATTGATTTGGACGAAAGTTATCGCTTCGGTTGCACCTCTATGACAGCAATCGATTGTCAAGCTCTGTGTTATCGTCGAGACTCCAACTAGAACAAAGTTAAAGCGCTCAATTCGAATTTTGTGGGTGCGGCACATCCATTTGAAACGCGTTCAGATACAGATACACAAAATGCAGCCGAAAAAGATGTGGGTCAACAACCACCGAATGAAGTTGACCCACTTATATATGTATTGCTTTAAAATGCACACACACACAGGCACGCACATGGTCATTATGTAATAAAAGCGGTGACGACGTTTAACGGTATTCCAGTTAGAACGACTGCAGCGCCGGCGCATTAAAAACTCCAATTGGAGTTCCCTCGGTGGTGGGAAATGCGAAAAAGCAGACGGAGAAAAACCCAAACAAACAAACCCATCTTCCAATTGAACTGATAACACGGTGAGAGGGAGGGAGGGGGTTTGAATAAAGAAGAGAAAGGGAGAGAAAGGGCAAACAAATATACAGTGGCAGCTCGCCAATTGGAATCCTTTTTGGCGGGATTCAAATTGGCAAAGGAAATTGTTTTCCTACTTGTGACTCAAGTTTATTAATTCTTTTTAAACACATAATTTAGCAGTTTTTAAGCATGCTTTTTGGTATAGGGGCCCAAATATATATTTAGATATTAATTTAAAATTTAAAAAATCTTTAATAAAAAACCTATGTTTTATATAACGATATTTGAAAGGAAAACTGTTTAAAAAAGTGAAGTAAAGTTTTGTTATATTTTTAATCTATTTAATAATATATTAATTTAAAGATGCTAATATCTTTGTTTCAAGACTTTAAATCATTAACTCGTTAGACCATTTGAGCTTATCCCATTCTTTTAGATTGATCATAATTCTCTTTGATTGTTTTAAATTATTCCAACGAAGATATCATAAAAAATTTTAAAAGCCCGAAGAGAACCAAGAAACATTAAAGCTTCTTCTCACGCAACAAGAAACACACATAGTTGCAATGTCTTTTTAATTGTTTCCGCTATTATTTGGCATTATTTCCTTCTTTACGATTTAACACAAGGTGTGTACGACCCACGATTTGCAATAAAACTCAAGTCCATCGGCTGAATTACCACTGTACGTGTGGGCTTAAGCTAGCAAAGTTTTTAAACCAAACTGCTGACGGTGAGCGGTAATTATCGATTCAAAAATTTGTGTGTCTCAAGCTTCCTGCCTTTGGGGGAGGTTGTGGGTACAAAAAAGTAGAGGGGATTTACGGGGCCTTAGTTTTAGGGTTGGGTGATGAGCAGCACAAAGTTCATCGCTTGCTATTTGGGTTGATGGAAATGTGGAAAACCCAGCTGAGTTTTTGCCTAAAGGCTTAGGAAAAGAGATCAGTTATGGATTGGCCCAAAAAGTCTGGCTAATACGAGATACAAAAGCGAAACAAAAGTGAAAGCTGCCAAAAAGTCATTAGACGGATGTTTTAATGAGGTAAAAGTAGGCCCTATTCCGAGCACACACAATCGCACAATCACAAAAGCCCTTCGAGCACATTGCTGCACTGCGAAAAAGATTTGAAATTTTTTTATAGGAACCTATGCAGAATATAATAACATTTTTTGTCTTTATACTAGAATCATGGGATTCAAAGAGCAGACCTTATAATCCACAGTAAGTCATCTTAAAATATAAGTGTATTTACTTCTATCTGAACCCTGGAGTTTACTTTGCATTTAATTTATCAGTGTACTTTAGAGATATGAACACATCTTTCACGTTGGAGAAAGAGTGAATCATTTTATTGGCCTAGTTTACTCTTCATAAAACTCGGTACTGATTTCTAAGAATTATCATTATCATCATCAGTTATTCAAATGAAGTCAATATTTTATAGAACCACTTCCTTATATGATTATACTATTGTTTTACTTTTTAGTCAGTGCAAATTAGCTGAGAATTTTTAACGTGGGAGAAATACATTTTGCTTTATGAAGGTAGGTTTTAAAAGGTTAGTAATTAGCACTACACCTCCTATGTTAGTCTTAGTTTTCTAAACTTTTCTATTATCTTTAATAAATAAAAGTGTAGTAAATCAAGTTCCTAATATATCGTATAGTATTGTTCACCTATTTGGTTAGTTTTAATAGGAAGGGTCCTGTATATTTATCATACATTGTGTACTTTATAGGGAAAACAGCGTGTAACAGTATTTTAAAGATTTCTTTATGTATATTTCGTAAGAACTATCGAAATAGCTGTCTTTAAACTTAGTTATAGTATTTCAAGTTGACTACTTACTCCTCCTGCACCTCAATGCCGCTGTCATCCATGTTCCCCTTGGCATAGTCTCCACTGTAGCCGCCGGCTAGCGGCAGATGCGACGGCAGCGTCGACGCCAGCTGCGGCTGACCAGCGGCGGCAGCGGCGGTATCGGCGGCAGAATCTGCTGCGGCATCGAACCCAAAGGTGGACTCCATGTGCTCCGATAGCGGCGTCGGCGTCTCGAAGACGAGCGTCTCCACCATCGAACCCTTGGAGGAACCAAAAGAGACGCTGCAAAATGAGAAGATAGAAGGTCAAATAGGTGCACTACAGGTTGCCTTCCCTAACTTAAAACAAACGTATTATTTTATATTGTATTATATTATTTTTAAAAATAATATTTTAAATAAAATCCAGGGAATACATATTATAATATGTCTTATAAAAAAATACAACTCTAAATATAACACTACCTAAAGATTTTTTTCAACTTTTTTAGTCTTGAAGATTGCATGTCAATATTAAATTTCGGGACGAAAAATGTTAGCACATTCGACTAACATCGGATTATTCCAAATTTGTCTCAATTTTATTTTATTTTAGTCGACTTACAAAGTTATAAAGTATTAGTTATAAGCCTCTGACTAAGGAAACCCCTTTAAAAAATAATATTAAAATAATAATCAAGAACTCACAATTTTTTTGTTTTTGGAAAAGATATTTATAGTTTTGACTAGAATAGTTTGCCCCATATTTAAAAAGATTATAGAAGATAAGACATACAAGATATTTCCATCTTTTTTAGGAATACTGAATTTTTTTTTTAAATTTTCCTTAAAAAGAGAATTGTTTGTATATTATTATATTGGGACCACTAATCTTAGAGGTTTCGTTATAAAACTATTTTTATTAGATAAATTTTGGACAGCAGTAGTAAAGGCTTTATTATAATAAAAGATTATAGAATACAATCAAGATTTTGGGTATGTGAGGCGTAGTAAATAAAAAATTTTACCATGAAAACCTCATACCATTCCAAATCCAATATTATCTACCAGTTGGGACTTAAAAATTGTTCTAAGATTCAATTAAAATACTATAATTTTTATAATATAGTTAAGATAGAAAAAGACATAGGAACAATAAGAATTATGGATTTACATATCATAATATCAGTTTTATGATATAGTTAGTTAGATATTGGGACTTAAAAGATTGTTCTAAGCCATGAGCATTCGTGTTTTGGCTACTTTAGGTAGAGAATTATTGATTTTCATATCATAATATCAGTTTTATAAGATAGTTTATTAGATTAGAATATAGGAAAGATATAGCTACCGTTTGAGGCCGACGCTTTTGGTGCCCAATTTGCTCAGTTTGCCGGGCTTCTTTTGGGGGCGTGGGAATTTATCGCTCAGATCGCTGGACATATCGTCTTCATCAGCTGTCGTTGTTGTTGTTGTTGTAGCAGGTTCTATATCCCCAGATGCGATTGTTGTTGCTGTTGTTGTTGTTGCGGCTGTTGCTTCCGCTGCATTGTTGTTGTTGCTGCTGCCGCTGCTGGCCTCGTTGTTTTTGCTCTTGCTGTTATTTTTGTTACTTTTATTATTAGCCATGTTTTTAGCACTGACCACAAGCAAGGCATTATTGTTGTTGTTCACATTGTTGTTGTTGTTTTGTTGCGTTGCAGTTGCTGCTGCTGCTGTTGTTGTTGCTGTTGTGTGCACCAAAGGCAGCGACGTTGGCGGCGCAGCTGCAGCGACGCCGACCGAGGACGAAGGAGGCAGCGACAGCGGCAGAGGCGGCGACGTTGACTGCGCCGCAACAACAATTTCCTCGCTTAACAAAAGCGTTCGCTCATCGCAGTCGCCAGCGACGCCGGCCGAGACGTCCACTGCGGCAGCGACGCCGGCAGAGCCATTTGACAGCATTGCGGTTGCAGAAAAACGATTCGATTTCGATTTCGCGGCTAACGGGGCATTTCGAGGGGGCGGTGGCGGCGTGGTGGGCGGGGCCAGGGCCAGCATAGGTATATAGGTGCACCCACACACACGCACACACACTCAGGCACACACTTAATTAAATCTGTTGAATTTGAGTGTGCAAAAAACCAACAAAAAAAAAACAACACAAACACTCAAATTGATATATATTTTTTTAACACATTAACAGCGACGTCGACTGCGGCAGCGGCAGCGGCAGAGGCGGCGACGACGCGTCGGTGACCTGCACTTTATTTCCCCGCACCCCGCGCTCCCACGAACCAAAACACGCGTTTATAAATAAATATGCAGAAGTGCATTTAATAAATCCGTTGGCGCGCGCTCTGTTGCTCTTGTTTTTGCGAATCGGATCGGTTTTGGTTCTCGTTCTCGGCTCGGCAGCGATATAATCGGAACAAGGAACAATCGTGTGTGTATATTTGGCAGCGCTTCGAATTTCTGTTCTGTTCTGTTCCGTTTTGTTCGAACGGCGCTGGCGATGACACCCGGCCGATAGCGCGACTGGCCGATAGCGATGTCGATAACGCAGTCAGCACGCGATAGTTGAGGGGGCGCACAAATCAAACCATCGAATGTACATTTTTTATAGATGTTATAATAGTTATAAATCGTTAAACGAAAAAATACAACCATAAATTTATGATAAATAATACATATAACATTAACCCTAAAATATATATAAGATAAAAAGTTTATGCCATAAAATAATTCATTTAGGCCCATAATATCTGAATTTAAGAACTTGAAAAATGAACAAGCAGTGCCATCCAGAACCCGAAAATATTAATACTATCACAAAACCCCTATGTTATACTCTTACATTTAAGGAGCAATAAAATATAGTAAATCAGTTAGTTTTTTAAGTCTAATTTCTGGGCATCCCCTAAAATGTTGAATTGTTAAAAGTTAAACAGAAAATTTTAGCAATAAAGGGAACACTAATCGGTTCCTGTTGAGTTTTCAAACAGCTGTAACCATTTATCAAATTTTTTGGAAGTAAAAACAAGTAACATTTTATTATGTATTGTTGCCATGACTTTATTATGAAATGAGGTAACAACTTTTAAATTTCTATAAATTGAGTATGAATGGGGCAGCTGATAAAAAGCTGACTAAAATCCAACAATTTACCAATTTAACAGTTTAGCGAAAACCCTAAATATAATGTTTTGAATAACTAATTTAACTTTAGTAAATATCAATATTTTATAGCAGACAATTTTAATAAATTTTGTGCCCATGATGTTGGTTATGTTTTCAAGCCACTATTGGCATTTTCAATAACATTTAGGCTGGCTTAGGTGTTGAAAAAAAGCTGGGTATATTAAATAGGTAATTCAATTGTTTTATAACAATTAATTAACATTTAATTATTAACTTTTATTTCTTTGACAACACTGTTGCTCCCATCTGTCCTATCGATAGCTTATCGATTGGCGCCACTCACCAGTTGGTCCATCTCTATAGAGATGAGCAAAATTGCAATTTTCCGTCTTAAAATTCGCAGGAGAAAAGCCACAAATAATCAGCAACGAATCGAAATAAATGTGAGATATAGCCGCGATTTGATCTGAATGAATCGCGGGGACTGAAAGCGTGACCAATTCGCCGAGGAAAGGTCGCCAGGGCGAGGGAAATCGCTCATCTCTATTACAAATACGAAAATGAAATTGCGTGCATTCTAAATGGTAAGTTAAACGCCCCAAAAAATGGGTTAGTAATATTGTTTGTTTTCCATCGCCCCTTTGGTGACCATAAACAAGTGTTTCTTAATTGCGACAGATGGATGTAACAAACATTCCAAAACATTTGCAGCAGCAGCAACAACAACAATCAAAATAAGACCAACACTCACACAAACGCACACACAAATGCGCAAATGTTTTTCTCTATTTTCTTGTTTCTTGTTTTATTTTTACATTTGTTAAAAATAACATGCAACAATTACACGCTTTAATGGTTTCATAAACAGCCATAGATTGCAAAATTAAATTCTAGTAAAACCAAAACACACCCAATTTTACCCTTGCGCATGTGTGAGTGTGAAAAATCCTTTTACAGTGCGCGACATAAAAACAAGTGCAGAATTCTATTAATAAGTGGTATTCACTTTTTTATAGTTTTGGTTTGCATGACTCACATAATAAATTACTGGGTTTACAGAAATAGAAGAGACAAAAATTGCCGGTTCAAAAATACCGGTTAGCCCGGTTAAGAAAATGCAAAAAGAAAAGGTTTAAGAACCACTTTGGCCACAAAACCCTAGCCCACAATTAATTGCAGTTGAAATTACGTAAAAAAAAGAAAAAAGACTCACAATACTCTCAGCTTTTTCCGGTTTTTATCTGGGGTGTCACAGAAACAGTTCTTTAAAAGTCTGCAGTCACTCCAAAATTAACCTGCAATGTTGAGAAATTTAAGTCATATATTGCCTTAAATATAGAACTCTTCAGATAAAATCTTTTTATTAGGTGTCGGTTTATTAAACTTGCTAATATGTCATATTATAGTAGAAGATATTTGGGATAAACCATTTAGAATTATTTTTTTAAATTCTGTGTGGAAAGGATACTATTTGTTTTTATTACCCCACACAACATTTTTCTAAATCCAAGAAGTTATTTTTTATAATTTAAAATGTCACTAGAGTTAAGAAAAAATATTGACAATTTACCAATTTTCCATTGCGAAATATTATATCTAACTAAAAGAAGTATCAATAAAGCAATGGTACTCACCTACTACTTGTAATAAAATGATTGTACTTCGAATTTATTTTTAGAAACATTTTATTTTAAAGCTTTGGCACAACAATAATCTAATTTCCCCACCTCTTTCAGCCACATGGGAACCATGACCAAGGACTACGACTATCTGCTGAAGGTTCTGCTGGTGGGCGACAGCGATGTGGGCAAGCACGAGATCCTCTCGAACCTGGAGGATCCCTCCACGGAGAGCCCCTTCTGCAGCGGGAACGGTGAGTGCTGGCTTTGCCCTTCGATAGACAACCCATCTGCAATCCAATCTAATAGACTGCACGTCTCATATCCTTCAAACGGTAGCCTACAAGACGACCACCATCCTGCTGGAGGGCAAGCGCGTGAAGCTGCAGCTGTGGGACACCTCCGGCCAGGGACGCTTCTGCACGATCATCCGCTCCTATTCGCGGGGCGCTCAGGGCATCATCCTCGTCTACGACATCACCAACAAGTGGAGCTTCGACGGCATCGATCGCTGGCTCAAGGAGGTCGACGAGGTCAGTTGGGATTTATAGGGAGAAACCTCTTTGTCAGGATATTCATTGACAATGCAGTTAAATTAGTGAAATAGTAACTTAACATTTTGTAAGCTATGTAGTTTTGTTTGCGTTCCATAAGCATTATTACAGAACGCCATATTCAAAAACACCATAAATTTTTCGCCCACTAAAAATTTTCGCTCTAAGATGTTTTTATTTTGAAGATCTTTGAGGTATATTTAAGCAGTTGCGTTTATGTTTATTAAATCGTAAAAAAAAGATGACAGAAGTGAATGGTTATGTTGCTATTTTGTACTCTCATGATTCATATAAATATGATTTGAATATAATACGAACAGTTAAGGACGATTTACATGAACCTGTTTTTATGATCTTAAAATGAACAAGATTAATGATACACGTTGTAAGTTTTTATTGCAAAACTAAAGAGGTTTTTGTAGGAAAAAAGTAGATTTTAAAGAAACGTGGTTCTGCGACTCTCAAGAAATAGTTAAACTCAATTATAAATTTAATTCAATATTTATTTTTTGATTTTGTAATGCATGCTGCATGCTTGGGATAAATATGATCGCCAATGCGTTTTTCTTCTTTTAACCCCTTTACAAACCTTTTTTTAATACTTATTAATGTTATACATTTTCAGCATGCCCCTGGCATACCAAAGGTGCTCGTGGGAAATCGCCTGCATTTGGCCTTCAAGCGACAGGTGGCGGCCAAACAGGCCGAGACCTACGCCAGCCGCAACAACATGTCCTGCTTCGAGATATCGCCTCTCTGCGACTTCAATATCCGCGAGTCCTTCTGCGAACTAGCACGGATGGCGTTGCATCGCAATGGCATGGAGCACATCTGGCGCAGCAATAAGGGTAATTACCACAAAAAGATGGGAAAAGTGCTAGACAATACTAAATTTAAAATCTTACGTGTATTAAAACTCAGTTAGCTATCGCATGTGAGGGACATTTCCTTTGTTACAAGAGGTTTATATAATATACATGTATTTTATACATTTAATTACGGTTAGGCTATTTTTATCATATTATTTTTTAACCATGTTAAATACTTTGTGCAACTCGACATTATTATCGACTCAAGCGCCAACTTTTTATACGCCGAGCTGTAGGGCTATTTTTAGTTAAGTTGTGAAAGAAGACGATGGGCTTTGATTTTTTAATTGCTTACTTCGGGGCAGTTTCGATTTAGTGCCAATTATGTCAGTCTATTATGTTATTTCAAGCATTCGTCTTTTTTTGATAGTTAACAACATACTTAAACCTTTATTAAGCGGACTCTTGTTAATGTGTTTTGGATGAGTCTGAATACACATAAAACTTAAACAAATCAAAAGGTTAGCTTGCACAGACAGCTATACATAGGTACTGGCAAAGAAACTTTACTGAAAGGGTATAATAAAACCAAAAAGATAAATCGAAAACTCCAGTCGTAATACAAAATGTCTAATACTTTAAAGTAGGACACATAAGAACTTTTTATAATAGATGAATAAACGAAGTCTGGTTTGGCAAATGAACAGATGGCAGTTCGCAGGTTTTTGCAATTGTTTAATGGTGGTGTGGGTTACTTGAATAGCTTCTAAGCCTTGTGAAAAACCGCAAACCACCTTTTACCAATACATACATTTATTATTGATGAGATTTACTAAACAAATGTTATTGCCTTTGCAGTGCTGACGCTGCAGGAGCTGTGCTGCAGGACGATCGTGCGAAGGACGAGCGTGTACGCGATCGATTCGCTGCCCCTGCCGCCGTCGGTGAAGTCGACGCTCAAGTCATACGCGCTGACCACCTCGCAGTGCTTCAACTCGCTGACCCAGAGCTCCAAGAGCAAGAACCGCTGCAAGACGCCGACGAGCAGCAGCCGGAATAGCTGTGCGATCGCGTGATCGTTGCCTTGTAGGCCGCCGCCCAGCCGCCTACGCCGCCACGCCCCCAAACCGACATTAACTTTAATTGAGCTCTACTTATGTACTCTAGGCTAACACACACACACCACACACTCGCCCACTCACCCACATTGAAGACCCCCCCCATACCTTTGGTTATTTTGTTTGTTTCATCGACATTGATATTTGTGGCCAACAATGTTTACTTTTTACACAGTAAAGCTTACATTTATTTTATTATTAACCCCCCCGCCCCCATCTGTCCCCACCTTCCTTCTTTTGCATTACTCTAATGTTGTTAATATTATTATGTTTGTATAATTCTAATATTTAAAGCATCAAACACATCAACATAAAAAAAAAATAATGAAAACGAAGAAAAAACAACAGCAAGTGAAAATCAATTTTTATATGCATAAAAACAATTATTTTTTTTGTTTGTTTACCATCGGATTAAAATATTCTTAGAGATGTATTGTAATTGAAGCGAATTCAGCAAAAGAAGCGCACTCAAAGGCGAATTGATAAAGATAATTCATAATGAACTATGACCCGTGTTTTCATTTACTTTCCATCCCTTTCTTATTCCTGACTGGGTAGCTCTTTCTCTTTCCCTTTAGATTTTTGATATGTGGTAATTTTAAGTGAAAGTTTGTTAAGATGCTGGTTATAAAACTATGGAATTTTTTGAATTAACTTAATTGCTTTTCCCATGGAAATAAATTAAAGTTAACTAAACTACTTAACTAGTAGAAGAAAAAAATGAATTCTTTTGTAACTTCTGTAAACAAAGAATGGTATTTATTAATCGGTACTTAAAATAATTTGATTGGAATTGAATTGAACAGCTTTTTACGTTTTATATTTAAATATTTAAAAATTAAAAATTTCTTAATTAAAAAATAATTGGTTGTAGTGAAATTTTCTAAGTAAAAATTCCTTTTCTGAATATCTATCCTTCATATAAAAAAGAAAATTTCATAAGAGGCAATTTCACTTAAATAGATAATAGATGCAAACCACAAACTCCGACATCTTCTCTTTCAACAACAAATTAAATTAGAAAAATGTGGATACCCTTGAGTTTATAAGTTCGGGGATAAAGAAATATTGAGTGCAATAGTTAGAGGTATGAGTTTACCATATACGTAGAAAATATATAATACTCTTGAAGAAAACTAAAAATCTTAAAAATCTTTGAAATTTTTAAAAATATTTTTACTTTAATGTCAGTAGTTTTATTAGAAAATATTTTTTTTTTAAGGTGAAAGGGTTCTTAATCTTTTCTATCTATAAAGAACTACATATTGAGAACCTATACATCTTAAAATTAAAACAAAGTAAAGAAACACTTAATTTAGTTTTTAGATAGACCCATTAAATCCTGAGATTAGATAAAGTACATCTTTTCAGATCAGTTCTCAAAACAAGAGTATTTTGATCTTCGTCATGTGGATTCTTCTGCTTCTCAATCGATTTGCTTCGTTTTCAACATCTGGTCGGGGTTGTCCCTTGTCGGATGTGATTAATCGGTTTGCAGCAAAGCCAATTTGATATTGTAATATTATTTAAATGATTCAAATTGCCTTTCCTTTGCTTTGCATTAATTCGCCCTTTGAGCCAAAGCATTTTATATTCCCCAATTTCGGCTATTTGGGGTTTTGCCTTTACACAACTCCAGAGTTGGCCAATCAAAAGGGGGCGGGGCTTTTGGGGGCAAGGGAATCGTTTTACTTTTAACGTATTTTCAAAATTTGGACTGGAATCACCGTGGGATAGCGAAATGATAGCGAAATTATTGCACTCATTTGCATTTGTGTTGATTAACTTTTTAATGGCTCTTTCTTTTTCAGTGTTTCTATTTTAGGGTTTTCGTAAATTATGGAGTCTTTTAACAAAAAATAGTTGATTCATGATAGTTAAATGGTTTATAAATATATTAAGGCAATTATAATCATTTATTACATTTTTGATTTAAAATTAAAGTAACATTTTATTTACTAAAACAAAATTTTTTTATTGTTTTATATTAAAATTTAAAGTTTCTTAAGTTTTCTATCGATTGTCAGGTTTGGTTGTAAATGTCATCCAAAATTGTTACTAACTTATTTTTAGTTTAAGGGCTTAGTTTAAACTACATATTCTAGTTGTATATTTAATGATAGTTAAATGATTCATAATTATACTATCGCAATTTATAACATTTACTACATTTTTGGATCAATATTAGAGTAACATATTATTTAGTAAAACAAAAATTTTATTTTATTTTTAAATTACAATTTAAAAGTTTTTTTAGTTTTCTATAGATTATCATATTATATATTATATATTATCATTACATATATGTAACACAATCGAACATTTTTGTTAACTTATTTTTAGTTAAAGGGTTAAGTTTAAACTACATATTCTAGTTATATATTAAATGCATAATATATAAACAGGTGTATATAGAAGGCAGGGGTATCACCCCTTAAATTTTCTTTTTAACTTGTGTGATTTTTCTGACTTTTAGTTTGAATTTGTAGGTATATGTTATATGGTACGTTTTCAAGTAACTATATCTGCATCTAGCTTGAGAAAATGCACCGCCTAACAATATTTTCCCCATTTATCTATCTATAAAATGCATCTCCCACCTGAACTTGCATTGGGAAAGCGTTAACTTAACCCGACCCGACCCGAACTGACCTAACCCATCGATCAGGTGATCGACGGGGGGCGGGGTCACCATCATTAGGCGGTTCGTTCGTGCCCGGCGGATTAATTTCGGCGGCTGATCCAATTATGGACCAGCTTTTTCACATATTTTTCCACTGGACTCATTTGCATTTGCCAGCCGACGATGCGTTTTTGTTTTTGGACTGCCTCGATTCCAGAGGTTTTTGGCTTGGGTTAGTGGTTAAAACAGTGGTGGGCAGGTCGATGACGAAAGCAAGTTCAGGTTCAGCGATTGATACAAATGGATGGAGCATGGAGCAATCCGGCTGCTATATAAGCCGTGCTCCGCTTGGAGTGGATCATCAGTTGGCTTCCTCATCTGCTACGTGAAGTTCCACAGTTTTCAACCCCCAAGCAAGAAACTTCCAGCAATGAAGGTGAGTCCTCTCAAGAAACAGTGAAAAATCAGCACCTTATAAGAAAAAATATCTATACCATCAATAAAGCAAATATAAAAGTAGATTTTTTTTTATATCAACAGTGAAACAATAACATTTAATAAAAAAAAAGTATACAAAATCATTAAATATAAAAAACATACAAGAGAAACAATTTTTTTTAATGAGTCCTCTCAAAAAACAGTGAAATATCAGCATCTTATAAGGAAAAGTATCTATACTATCAAAAAAGCAAATATAAATGTAGAGTTTTTTTTAAATATCAACAGTGAAACAGTAACATTTAATAAAAAAGTATACAAAATCCTCCTCAAAAGTCCTCTCAAATATATCAATACCATTAGAAAAGAAAATATAAAGGTATACATTTTTTTTTTAATATCAACAGTGAAACAATAACATTTTATAAAAAAAGTATACAAAATCATTAAATATTAAAAAAAAACAAGACAAACAATTTTTTTAAAAGTATTAGTATTACAAATAAAAAAAATTATATTTCTTATAAAAACTTTTAAAAATAATTGTGCAATCTATTATATTGATCCTAACAAAATAATTTGTTGTATCATAAAGTTCCATATATTTTAGTCATATGCCAGGATCAATTTAAAAATAGTATTATAAATATTTTTAGCACTTGATTTTTATAAGATTTTATGTATTGTATTTTAAATATATTTTTAATTTTACAATTTTATATATTTTTTACAGATCTTTGTGTGTGTCCTGGCTGCTTTGGTTGCCACCTCGTCGGCTGGCTTCATCGGTGGATCCGGCGGTGGTGGTGGCGGTGGCGGTGGCTACAGCTATGGAATCGGTTCTGGAGGAGGTGGTGGTGGTCACCAGGAGGTGAAGACCATCCAGGTGATCCACCAGGAGGGAGGCGGCTACTCTGGCGGCGGTCATGGTGGCTACTCCGGCGGTGGTCACCAGGAGGTGAAGACTGTGAAGGTCATCCATGAGGAAGGACATGGCGGTGGCTTCTCCGGTCACGGACATGGACATGGCGGCCACGAGGAGGTCAAGCTGGTTAAGGTCATCCACGAGGAGGGCGGTCACGGTCACGGACATGGTGGTGGTTACTCCCATGGCGGTCACCAGGAGGTCAAGACCGTGAAGGTCATCCATGAGGAGGGACATGGCGGTGGCTTCTCTGGTCATGGACATGGACATGGTGGTCACGAGGAGGTTAAGCTGGTCAAGGTCATCCACGAGGAGGGCGGTCACGGTCACGGACATGGCGGTGGTTACTCCCATGGCGGATTTTCCGGTGGTCACCAGGAGGTTAAGACTGTTAAGGTGATCCACCAGGAGGCCGGCGGTCATGGAGGCTACTCCGGTGGCTACTCCGGCGGTCATGGCGGCTACTCTGGCGGCGGTCACCAGGAGGTCAAGACCGTTAAGGTCATCCATGAGGAGGGACACGGCGGTGGCTTCTCCGGTCATGGACATGGACATGGTGGTCACCAGGAGGTTAAGGTCGTTAAGGTCATCCACGAGGAGGGCGGTCACAGCCACGGCGGTCACGATCACGGCCATGGTCATGGAGGATTCGAGGAGGTCAAGACCATCAAGGTCATCCACGAGGAGGGTGGCCACGCCCATGGCCATGGACCCGCCCCCATTGCCATTAGCAACGAGTACCTGCCGCCCAGCAACGAGTACCTGCCCCCCGTTTCCGCTCCCGCCCCCGGATATCTGCCTCCCTCCAGCTGGAAGTGATTCCATACCATCTCATTCCCATCGATTCCATTTCGATTCGATTCGATTCGAGCCATACTGATCCTTGAGTCTCGTTAAGTAGTTTTAAGCCTTCTTTTTTTTCCTGCCCATATTTTTTTTTTACTGTTGTACCCATCTTACCTCACTTGTTGAACAAATATACCATCTGTAAATTATAAAACTATCGGGTTTTGATTGGTATTCGGGAATGGCTAGCTGCTAATCTGCTAAAGCATTTTAATATAATAGTTTGGTCATGATTACCTTACTTTATTTACTTATTTAAATCATTTTGTTTTCAAAATCCAACCAGTTAAAAAATCGACTTTTACCAATGCCTCACACTAAAAAAATAAAATTTAAAAAAAATACCTAAAAAATTTCTCTGCCCTGAAATTTGAGAAAATAAATATTTGTTTACAATATAATTTCTCAAGTGAAAGTTATCACGTTTTTAGTAATGTATTTTCTAACATTACATTTTAATGTATTATCGTAAATTTTCTATGAAAAAATTTTCGAAACAAATTAAAATGAACCATCTTTTCAAATTTGTTTTCTGTGTGATTTCGAAACTTAATTTAAAAGTACATTCTTTATGCCTGTGCTCACTATTCTACTTCACCTCTATTCAAAGCTCGTTTAGCTGTTTGAATTAGCATTTTAAACATTTTCATTCAGTTCCATTCAGTCGGATGACCACTTTCGATTCGCGCTTCAATTTCACTTTCAACCCAATCCATCGACCGACATTACCATAATCACAGACGTCCAATTTAGCGGTAGCTCAACGACCCGTTCATCGCCGGGTTTATGAGTATCATGGATATATCTTGTATCTAATGGATTTAATTTGTAGGTATATCTTTACGTTTATTTGTACGTTTAGAAATGTGTTTTGTGAAGTTGTAGTGCCTTAAGTATTATTTTGTGTTGTATTTCATATCTTATGGATTATTATGACTAAAGTTTAATCTTGTACACAGAGAAAAATTGGTTCTGGTTTTGAACACGATATTAATATTTTTATTTTTATTTAAATTGTTTGAGGTTTTAATTTTTTTTTTTTCAAACAACATGTAGACTTTATTTTACGGAAATATTTTTTGGTCCTATTTTAGCATTTAAATATTAAAAAGTGAGTTTTTGATTTTTTAATATTAAATCATAATATCATTATAAGTAATATGAGGTCCATAAATCAAAAATAGATTTTTCTCTATGTATGTCTTGCTTGGTGCTGTGTTGTTTTAATAAAAACAATAAAATAAATAATTTAAGGTTAACATTATATATCCCTTATTTGGAATAAGCTACCATCTGATATGGTTTTTAACTCTTTTTACTTATGTGGCCAAAAGTCCTGCCGTCTTTTTTTAGCCGTATTTTGGTCGAAGCGGTTGTTTTGGCCCAGATACTGATGCAGGGGCAGTGGGCGTGGCGATGAGGAGGTCACGCCCAGGGGAAATTCACTGGTGGGTCTCCATTTCGAGGGTAGCCATGGTGAATCGTAGTCCTTGAATTTACTCTGGTACTTTTCCTCCGGCGAGCTGCCCTGATAATTTCCCGTGGGATTCCCCTTTTGATCATTATGAACCTTTAGATTCAGCAGTAATTCACCATCATCATCGATGAGATTATATAGCTGAACGCCTTTGGCCTCCCTCAGAGGATGAGCTCTCTCCAATCTGATTTGCTGCTTGACCTTTGGCCTAATTAAGGGCTTGGATCGCTGGCCAATATAACGCGATGATCGATCCTGTAATTGCCGGAGAATATTCAAGGGCAGTAGTAGATCCGATTCGTAGGGCAAAAAGCCGCTGGCCCGCACTTTTATGATATTTCGCAACAGCGGTTGATGGCCATATCCCTCAACCAGGCCCAAAAGGCTCAGATACAATAGGCCAAAAGTGTGCATCTTAGCAGCAGTTATTAACTCATTTTACACGAGGATCACTGGTAATACAAGCACTCGAATAAAAAATAAGCAATTGGTATTATTTTGACGAGACTGGAGCAAAAGAGCAGCGCGTTCTAGGCCCGCGTTGCACCAACTGACCGAACTAAAAAAAACACGGCTCGGTTCAAGCTAAAAGCAGCTGACTGCGCTCGTAAAAGCGAATTAATTAGAGAAAATACCGTACGGTACACGAACGCACAGTGGGACAAAATATAAAAAAAATACAAAATATTAAAAAACCAGGCAGTTAATAAATAATAATTAGGATGCCTGAAATAACGCAAAGTAAAAAATGCCTATTAAAATAAAAAAAAAAACTGTAGTTAGTTTAAACATGGCTTGTGCACTTGGCACTCAATAATTAGGTTGCACGCAATAACGCCCAGTGCAATAACGCCCGTTTTGTCTAATTTTACAATTAAAAAACCAGGCAGCTAATATTTAATAGTTATAATGCCTGCTATAACGCCAAGTGAAATAACTCCATAAGAGTAAAAAAAATACAAGATGTGTAGTAATCTAAACATGGGCGTTAATTCACTTGCTTTTATTGCATGGACTCAATAATTAGGTTGCATGAAATAACGCCTAGTGCAATAACGCCCATTTTGCTTAAGCTTGTATTTCTAAAACTCACACTTTTTAAAATTAAATACAGAATGGGCGTTGCACTCTTATATTGGTCCCACAATTTTTTAATTAAAAACAATTTAAAAACATGTTATTATTTGTAAATTAAAAAAATATTAAGCGTAACATTTAAAGTTATGAACATTTTAAGTACACTATACATTAAAAATAACATTTTACGCAGAACAGCGAAAAATGTTGCTGAGATGTATAAAAAGGTTGGATAAAAACCGAATAGTGGTTCGAATCCGACCGTCATATGTACCACGAAGACTAAGCAGATTCCGGAATTATAGGTAAAACTAAAAGAAAGCTTCCATAAAATAAGAAATACCTATTACTGAACATTATTTCTTCCTCATAAGGTTTTTCCTTTTCAACACTTATTAATTTATTTTAAAAACCTATTTAACTTAAAGCGAAAAAAATCTTTCGTACCACTATGCTTGACAAATCCAACACTTTGAATTGAAAATAAAAACATAACTGGCCGGGCCTGGACGTTTATTGTTTGGGGGCCTCTTGTTGAGGCTCTTTCTTCTATTATTTCCTCTATTATGCTGCGGGCAACACAAATTTATTAAAACATCACATGAGTCAACGCGTGTGAGTGTGTTGGCCTGTTGGCTGATTTATGCCAGAGTAACGAAGAATAATTCTTTGAATGCCCTTTTTGTGGATTGACAGCAAACTGGTTCACGGGCCGCGAGTTGGGACATTACCTTGGCCATTAAAACATAACCCGTCCACTCTCGCTGCCACTGGTGACCCAAACAAACAAACAAAAACGACTAAAAACACACACATCTCCGACTCATTAGCATTAAGACAAGAGACACCCGCATTGGACTAAAAAAGAGCCAACTCTCTATGCAGATTAGCAAGGTGGAAAAGCGCGGATCAGAATTTTCACTCGGTTTTGCAGTTGACAAACGCTCCGCTGATCACTCTCACTGCTCCACATTTGTATATGGACAGTCCGGTTAAATGCCGGTACAGTGCGTTCCATGGATGTAAGTAGCAAAAGCAGAATCCAAAAGTTGATTATACCATAATTATATTATTGATTATATCAAATTTACAAATTTAACAAAATAAATATATTATGAAACCAAACAGTATTTTATATTATTAAAATAATATATTTAAATAATATTAATATATTAAAAGAAAAAATCCATAATGTTCAAAAATATGCCATTCCTAAGTTGAGGAATCAGTATTTTAAGAGTATTTTATGACAGAATAAATGTAATTAATAAATAATATAAGCAATTCATTTTTTCCATCATTATAGCATTGAAAATAAATCCATGCTAAGACGACCAGTAAAATTACGCCCATTTTGATTAATCTAGTATTTAATTTTTTAAATATACAAAAAAATACCACACACAAATAAATATATACCGAATGGGCGTTATTTCACTAATTGTTATTGCATGCTTTCATAGAAAACAAATGACGCAAATTCGAAAAAAGCGATATACTTATTTAGACTAGACTTACTCTTCCGAAACGCACTGTACTTATTTACATTCACGGGAAACACAGCTAACGGTAGCTAAATCACAATCCCATCTGATTGACACATTGTGTTTTATACACCATTAATTTTCCATAAAGGCATATTGTGTAAATTTTTTACTTTTTTATTTCTCATAGACGTAGACCTTTGCTTAAACACTAAATTTAAGAACAAATAATTTGCAAAAAAAAAAGATTTATATGCGTAGGTTATATATAGGTAAATATGAGGAGGGATATCTGTACAATTAGACTTAGACATTAAAGTATAGCTAACTGACTAGAATTACGCTCAAAATTTAAATGGGTTCCAAGACTTAACTAAAGGCTATTAAAATTTCGATTTCTTTTTCAAATTCTTTGGTCGTTAATCCTTTTGTTCTTTTTTTTTTTGTTCCATAATAAATATTTACATATACAAATACTGTTGCTCTAAATAATTAATTAGGATATTAATTAGGCTTTAGTCCAGGGTGATGTGAGGATTTGTGTAGGTGAAGCCGTGGAACTGCTTTTGATCCATGGAGGCCAGTATCTCCTTATCGATGGGGGTGAGTCGCACCCTTTCCCTGGTAAAAACGCGATCGAAATATTGCGTATCCAGGGGGTGTTTCTTTGGAAATGAAATATTTAATGTTATTAAAGAAAGGAATACAAAAAACCTATTAAAAACCTACCACTTGGGGCTTAAAGGGCGGTTCTATTTGCCGCTTTTCCAGTAATCCCCAGTCGATGGGGCGGAAGAATATATGATCAGCTATATCACCAGCTGGACTGTATTGCGAACCAATACGCTTCGTATAGTCCTTCTCCAGCAACTATTCGTAAAAGTTACAATATAATATTATCTAGTATGGTATAGTATATTTATTTCATTTTTTTTTTCTCACCCCCTTGAGTATTCCGGTGGCCTCGGCGGATATATAGACTGGGAACCATGGAATTTCATTGCAAATGGACCAGAAGAGCTCGTCCTCATCGCAGCCACTGAATGGTGACTGTCCGATCAGCATTTCATAGAGCAGCACACCAAACGACCACCAATCCACATTCTGATTGTACTTTTCACCCTGAAAAATAGAAATATTACAAATTTTAGTTACACCATTCTGAGATAGAAAATACCTATTTGGTATTTTTGGTATATTTTTGTATTATAAATTAAAAACTTAAATAAATAGAAAGTTAAGAAAATGATTTTGATATTCTCCAATATGAAGTGTATATTTGTACTTCTCATCCTAAGTAATATTAAGAATATTATAATTTTCTCTATTCTAAAAAATTTAAATCTTTGGTATTTTTTTGTATAATTTTGTATTAAAAATTCAAAATTGAAAGAAAATTATTATCATTGGATATAATTAAATCAATTTTAAATAATATGAAGAATATATGGTATTTTTTATAATACATTTTAATCATTTTAAAATATACTGTTCAAATATTTTTGTATAGCATTTTTTTTAATTCTTAAATTATAGGAAATAGTTACCTTAATGATTTCGGGCGCCATATAATCGGGTGTGCCGCAAAAGCTATCGGCCGTCTTGTCCAAATAGATTTGCAATTTGCACATGCCAAAGTCGGCAATTCGAACATGTCCCTCGTAATCCAGTAGGACATTATCCAGTTTGAGATCCCTGAATGATAAAAAAATATATTTATTTATAACAAACAATACAAAATTAAGTTAGGACTAAGCTTACCTATAGATAATGCCCTTTTTGTGCAGGAACTTGAGGCCCGAGATTATTTCGGCGCCATAGAATCTGGCCCGCTCCTCGGAAAAGCGTCCGCTCTCCTGGATATGGAACATGAGATCACCGCCATTCAGATACTCCATCACGAAGAACAAGTGGCTCTGCAGGATATAGAAGATATAGAAAATATAGCGAGCGATTCTTTGGTTCGAGAATAGGCGAGAGACTTATAGCGAGAGATTGAAACTGAAATTGCGATTGAGAGATCGTCCCCCAAAGTCATAAATAATTAAAATACCTTCTAATCGGTGTCAATGCAAGACGTTGCAGTTGCAGTTGCATTTGCAGCAGCAGATGCAGATGCAAATTTCGGATTGAGAGAACACAAAAAAAAAAACAAAACTAAGAAGCGGACAGACAGGCACCCTGATCTACATGATGTCCGATCGACGTCGTGTGCCCCAATCGATGGCCAGACCCCAGTGATCTAATTATAGCACGTTTTACCTTTCCTCCGGCTATAAATAGCCAGCTGATCGATTGTTCTATATGATAAATATCGATCAAGGGAGCGGACACACCTCCGAGTGGTGACCCCCACCTGAGGATTGCCGCTCAATGAGAACTGAAAAGGTGCAAAGTGCGCATATAACACCTTGCGATTGCTCTGAAGGTAAAAACACCTGGAGATTAAATGTTTATTTTTTAAAAAATATTTAGTATTCCGATTGGACTGGTGAATCTGCTCATCCATATAACATACATTAATATAATTCCATAGATATTATTTTTAATGAAGGGGTCATTGACCGATGGTGACCCTAGTCAAAGGCTTCGTTTCCTTAACACTTTCTTACTGTATCAAAAAAATTGAGTATTAAGTGGAAATCTATTCTTAACACAATATTATACATTATTTTATATTACAAAAAATAAATTTTTAAAAAAAAAAATTATCCTTATTTGATTTTAAAATAATTTCTACTTGATTGTTACATTACATTTTGTTCAGTGCATGGGAATGAATTCGGTTTCATGTACCTTCATTTAAAATCCAAGCATTAAATGACGCTTTTTATTTTAGATAGGGTTTTACACTCGTAAAATGTAACAAAATTAAATTTAATTTCAAGCATGTAATAATCATTATGTTTTGGAAATATTTAGTTTTATGTTGGTTTTAAATAAAAAATTCTTTATAAAATATATGTGTTTTTAAAATGTATATCTTTTTTCGATATACATATATAACAGAATTTAACTTCAATTATGTGCCAATATATTAATTTTAATAAATTCCAAAAAATGTTCGAATTAAATATATAATCATACAATATTTTTGGTTTATTCTTAAAAACTTACCTCCGTCTGAAAGGTGCAGAATAGATGACACAGATAGGGATGTTTGGTGCCCAGGGCCAGGACCTTGCGTTCAATAAGCGTGGAGTCCACATCATCGTCCTCCAGAACGACATCCTTTTTCAGGCACTTAATGGCATAGTAGTACGTGGTATCCCGCAGCTCAGCCAGCAGAACCTGTTCACAATAAATAAAATATTTTAAAATACTATAGAAAATCATTAAAAAACACTCCAAACTCACCTTGCCAAAACTTCCCTTGCCAAGAACGGCCAGAAAGTGGAAATCATCTACCGAATAATTCTTAAATCTAGGTATTACTGTTGCTGGCGCAGTGAAACGTCCGGATTTTTGGAATTGTGAATATGTATATGATGTTTCTGTGCAATCGAGACAGCAAGATATTTATAAAGTTGGAGAAAGAGGGAGAAAGTCATGAAATAAAGATAAAGTTAGTTAAACTCTTTGGGAATATCTATATTAGAAGAGTGAAATTATAGATTATGTTTGTTCATGAGCAATTTCCGATGGTCACTTGAGAGCAATTTAGGGCTATTTATGTGGGGTTTATAACATTTGAGTTCGGCATACCATCGTGTTCTTCGCTGGCCTCGATTTTATAGGCTGGATTCAAACTGGGCGGTGTACTGGGTGAGTCACGGGCTTCTCGGGCTCCTAATTGTTTGAGATTATTAGTCGGGGTCTTGCACTTAGATCTTTCATAGATCTTTATATATTTCATTAATTTTAAAGGACTGATTTTGCTCACAGAATTATTAGGGAATTTAAGGTTACGATGATTTTAATAATTTATTATTATTATATTTAGGTATTTTAGTGGAATTTACTCTCAAAAAATTATATAAGCTTGCAGCATTAAAAAATCATTAAAAATCATTTAAACTTTTTAGAACCTATAAAATTATTGGTGAAACATATATTTTAACTCGCAATCTAAATAACCAAACGATTGAAAAAGTACGTAATAATTTTAAAGATTTTTAAATATGGTAATATCTATGATAATATTTCAAACATTTTTATTTCGTTAAAATATGCATTTAGAAAAGTATGCTTGTATTGAAGACTTTCTAGACTATTTTCTGGTTTTAATTATTATTTTATTCCATGAACCTACGTTTATTAAAAAGACTTTAGAACAAGAAATCAAAGACCTATCTTTCCTGAAACATGTGTATCCAAAAGAAAGAGTTCCCCAGAGAATTTCCTGGTTTCCAGTCATTCCAATCAACACATTATAAATTCTGTTCGAGCAATATCAGACCCATAAATTCGAGGCACAAATTATGAATATTATTTGGCCTCCATCGCTGCCATTCCGAATGTGATTTGTGCATTTTGTCTGGTTTTTACCTCGCTTCACGTGGTTGAGTGCCTCGACGATGAGTTTCTGATTGACACCGCATAAATTGGCCGTGAGCCGCTCGCATTTCTTGTGACAATTCACGTCACATTCTGGTTCGCGTGTTGCGATTCGATTTTCGATGTTGGCGAAAATGTGGATGGGATGCCCACGCACGGCATCGCATTGGAGGGGAATTAATTGCAAACAAATTATTATTAAATTTCTTGTTGCGGCAGGCTGCGAGGGTTACCCAATCTTCTGTTGCGATTTATTGGCTGCGCGCTTTCGCGACTCGAGGAAAATGTTTTCTAATAGGAAATTTACTAGCTAATATGTTAGAAAATGTACCTATTTTTGGTATATGCTCGACTAGGACAATCCCAAGATTTTATGGAATAGTAGATAAATAAGATTGGTTTTTAGAATCAATCATTTCTGATGACTAGACGTTGAATATGTGAAATCCATATTTGGAACATTCGATTTTCAAGTTTCTCTGAGTGGTTAAAAATTTTTTTATAAGATCATGATTAATTAAAAAATGTATCTAATTTTGGTATTATAAAAACAAAACTCTAGTCAAGAAACGCGGAAAATCAGAGGCTTAAAATATTTTCACATATTTCTCAACGTTCAGTGAAAAAATTTAAAATTGTGGTTGTTATAAAAATGTTATCATTGGTTTAATTAAATAGTAAATCAAGTCGTCCTAAAGCAAAGAAACTATAGATTATAAGAAACCGTTTAATAAATAACAAAATCATATTTAATTATTTTTTAGATAAATAATTAAATAATATTAGTAATAACTAAATACAAGTCAAATAACGAAAGTATTTGAATGATATGTATTTATTAAGTTTAAAATATATTTAATTAAATTTATTTTTTCAAGGCGTAATTGAATATAAAGAATATATACACAACTGTGCAGATAGATTTTAAAAAGTCATCGAACACTTTTTAATAATATCTTTCTACATAAGCTTTAATTATCAACTTTTCGTTGTCAATTATTGCTCAAGAAAAGGTTTTTTCAATGATATACACAATTTATAGGTTGAAGAAAAAATTCAGAATACAACAGTTATACAAACAGACAACAAACAACTTGCATAATTTCTTCGAAAGATACGCAGGAATCTGAAAAATTTGGCAGTTTCCTTAGTTGGAAAACCCTACTACTACTGGAAGTACAACTGATTATTTCTCCCAGTGCACCGTTTTAAAGACACGAATTTCCGCTGATTATTTTGGGTAGGAGGTTCTGCTCGCATAAACAATGCGAATCCGCAATTGTTGCTGCCCACTTTGATTGAATTTCCAACAAATTGAAGCGGATGCCCGGATATCACGTATACGCAGTGTGGCAGCGAAACACAAAACAATTGCATTTTGGCGCTCCTCGAGGGAATTTATATAATCTGGGAATTGACTGTATATCTGTATAGCTGTATAGCTGTATAGCCCATAACTGCGTTGTTTTCTATGGTTAAATCAACTGCAGGGGAATGTCTAGATACGTATAGTATCTGTGCAGATATATCTGAATCTATGTACATATATTCCACAGTCTCGCATGCGAAAGCTTTCTCTCTGCTCAGACAGACACGACGATGACCTAAACAATTTGTTTTCATTTGTTGTTTTGGCTAAAAGTAAAATGCCAACTTGTAGATTCTTTCTCTTTCTACTTTTTTTCTGCGGCTTCTGGCAGCGGATCTCTAGCAAATTCTCGCACAAACATCAAGGAAACGCCACCGCGGAACAGTAAGCAACGATAAAATTCTCGGTGAAAAATTACATAAAACAAGAATCGAGCGATAGAAATAGGAAGTCGATTTGCCATATTCACTATTTGCACAGTATGAGTAACAAAGCTAATAAATAACGCCATAAACAAAGTAGAGGCTAGTAAAATACCACTTTTTATGCGAATTTTCTAGCAATTAAAAAAAGGAAATGGCACTACAAAATAGTAACACATAGTATTTTTGGGGAAATAATATTTTTGGCATATAAAAACGAATTCACTTTAATAAAATATAGTGTTTTAAGAGAAAGAGAGCACAGGTAATATATAAAAAAATTCAGTTTTTCCACATCTGAGCACCTATTTAAATTAGAAACAGAAAAAACCTTAAAAGAGTTTAAATAAAAAGAAAAATCCAGAGGAGAGCAGATAAAAAAATACTATTCCAAAGAATAATAATTTTTCCTAAATAGTAAAATAAATATATTCAAGGGAAAGATAAAGAAATCAAACCGTATTATAATAGAACATAGTGGAAAGAATTTCAAAACACACATATTCGCTTATAAAAAAATCCCATTAAAAATCACAAACGTTAGTAACCCAGAACAAGTGTCCCAAATAAATAGAAACAATTTAGCATTTCCACGCATTTGCCCAATAACTCACATCATTTTTCCAGCTGCAGGTCGTTGAACCAGTCTCATTGCCCAGAGAAAATAATTTCAAGTATTTTCACTTCCTAGTTAACACTTTGAGTTCGGATGCATTACTATGCCATCAACTAGCCGAGAATACATTCTTATAGACAGGCCATCGTTTTCCCCGGATGATATACTAGCTATTGATCGTTATGACTTTGTTTATGTATTTCTTTGTGTCTCTATTTTCCCCAGAATTGTTTGCATGCCTGCGGCTATATCTGCTATCTGTATATTATATCTCATATCTATAGATCGGTGTTTTGTGAAAACGAAAGCATTCCGAAATGCCTGGCGTAGACAGTAAATCGAAAGCTCTTTTTTGATCCGCACACGTGCCGCGCACTCAAGTGACCAGCGGAGGAAAGGGGTAGGGGGTATGCTTAGATGTACACCGAAAGAAATTACAGCAATAAGTCATCTTCATTACTTTCCAAGTAATAACATAACGTTTCTCTAAAACCGGATTTATATGTTGTTTACAGATATTAAAGGTAGGTAAGACATTTTTATTTCAACATTTTTGTAGCTGATAAATATTTAAATATTTCTCTTAAAGAATCGCGTATATGTTGACCACTTCAAATTTAACATTTTTTCTATTTAAAATATTTTATATGTTAGGTTCTTGAAAACAATATTCCATCAACTATTTATGTAACTATTTGTTAAAAAATATAAATATGAAGAACGAAAAATTGTTTTATTTTATTTAAGGTAAGATTGTGGAATAATAATATGATATTTGTTTATTTATGATGTTTACTAAACCTTAAAAAAATTTTTTTTTGAGAAAAGCAAGAAACAATTGTTGATTTAAAATTAAAAAAAAAATGTGTTTAATACTTTAATTTTTGTCAATAAATATATTTCAAAACAGGTTTTTAACCATTTTTAAATGAAAAATTTTATATTACATTTTAAAAATATAAAATAATATAAATAAAAATAAATAAAGTTACACCTTATAGGTCCGATATTTTTAGTATTCTATCTTTTTTGTTTAGATACATCATTTTCTTATTTTTTGATTATGGTTGCTTAGAAACAGGTTCAAAACCATTCAGTAAATACATTTTGGTTAAAAAAAAATTCTTTTTAAGCTTAAAAAAAAAGGTTACTGGCTTTAAAAAAATTACACTTAAAAAAAAGGTAATGATTGGAAGCAATTACTTTCTAATACTTTGATGACTCTTTTCGCTGTGATTTTTCTCTGTGTATCTACTGATCTGTCCGCTGATTTTTCGCGAATCGAAAATCGGGTATCTAAGGCCTTACCTAACATCTTCTTGGGACTGGAGGGCGCGGTGCCGCCTTCGAATCCGGAATCGTTGCTGCAGGTGCTCATCCGGATGATGGAGGGCGAGCTGGAGGTGGAGGCGCCACCCCCACCACCACCACCTCCCCCGCCGGTGACGCTTAGAGTTCCGGCAGTCGAGCCGGCGGAACTGGGTGAGTCCACAACCGTTGTGGCCGCCGAACTGCCCCCCTTGGTGGCCACCTCGAGATCCTCAGAGCTGCCGCTGCTGCTGGAGGAGCTGCACTCCTCGCCGCCGCTCTCATCGTCGCTATCCTCGTCCAAGGAGCCACCGCTGCCCTCCTCGCTGCCGCTTTCATCGTCTGTGTTCTCATCCGAATAGACGATCTTCTCCCGCTTCCACAGGGGACGCGGTGTGGCCACCAGTGGATACCGTGGCGCCTCCTCCTTCACATAACACTTATTGGTCGTATCGATTTTGATCTTCTTGTGCGGATCGAAGCGTTTTGCATCGGCGGCGGCGGCGGCTTTCGCCTTTTGCTTCTTCTTCTCCTTGCGCTGCTTCTTCTTCATGCTGGCGCTTAGATTCAAACAACCGTCAACACTGGAATAATCGGAGGAACTGATGTTGCTGTCGTCGTCGTCGTCGCTGTTGCTCTCGTCGCTATTTTCCGCCGACGAGGGTATATAGTCCTCTAGCTCGGCATCAACGTCTCGCAGACACTGTGCCAAATTCGATACTGTTGCAAACTTTGATAAATTATTGCCGACGCCTTCGCCGCAGCTGTTGTTGCTGCTGTTGAGCGAGGTAACAGCAGCAGCAGCAGCATCAGTAGCAGCAGCAACATCAGAAGTAGCAACATTAACAGCAGCAACACCAATTGTTATCGTTGTGGGCGTTGTGGTTGCATCGCCTGTTGCCGCCGGCGATGACGCATTTGTGGCCTGTTGCTGCTGATGCTGCTCATGTTGCTGTTGCACTTGCAATGCTTGTTGCTTGTTCGGCGATGTTTTGGCCGCCTTTGTGGGGGCCAGCGTTATAAATTGATCGGCATTGATTGGGGTCACATTGCTCTCAGACAAAGCTGTTACAGTTTCTGTTGCTGCTGCTGCTGGCGTTGCTGTTGCCGTTGCTGCTGGCGTTGCTGTTGCAGCTTTCTTTTTGCCAACATTTGTTTTGCCGGCACTTTTTGGCTTTGTCGTTTTCGGTGATTGCACCTTTGACTTGCCCGTTGGCTCAGCGGCTTCCGTCAATTTCGTTTTGGTTTCCGTTTGTGGCACCAATGTTGCTGCCGTGTCGGGCAATTGCTGCTGTTGCTGTTGCTGCTGCTGTTGTTCCTTGTGCGTTGTTTTATTTATTTTCGTTTCAACCGCGGCTGCCGTTGCCTGTTGTTGTTCAGGTGACTTGGCCGGCTGCCCGCTATTTATTTTTGGCCCTGCTGTTTCGTTCAATTTTGATTTGCCTGTTGCTGCTGTTGCTGTTGGTGTTGCTGTTGTCATGGCTACGGCGTTGCCAGATTGCTTGGCCCCCTTGGGTGATATTGTTTTTCCTGCAACAGCAACACTTGTTGTTGCTGCTGTCATGGCAATCTTAGCTGTTGTTGTCTTTGACTTGATTTCATCTGTTGCTGGTTTAGGTTGTGTTGTTTTATGTGGTGTTGCTGGTGTGTCAACCTTTGTTTGTGGCGTTGCTGCATTGACTTGGGGTGTTGTTGGTGTGTCAACCTTTGTTTGTGGTGTTGCTGCTTTGGCTTGGGGTGTTGCTGGTGTATCAACCTTTGGTGGTACTGCTGATGCAGCTGTCTTAGCTTGTGGTGCTGTTGGTGTAATAACCTTTCTTGTAGGAGAATCCTTTGTTGGTGTTTCGACTTTTATTTGTGGTGTTGTTGGTGAATCCTTGATTGGTGTTGCTGGTAAATCCTTGATTGGTGTTGTTGTTGAATCCTTGATTGGTGTTGTTGGTGATTGTTTTGTTGTCGTTGTTGTTAAGTCCTTTATTGCTGTTGCTGCTTTAGTTGGTGAAGTTTTTGTTGGTTTATCCACTTTGATTGGCGGTGTTAAAGCCGAATCCTTTGTTGGTGTATCTGGCTTTGCTTGTGGTGTTGTTGGTTTTGGCGATATTTTCACCTTAGTTTGTGGTGTTTTTGGTGAATCTTTTGTTGGTGTCGCAGCTGTTGGCTTGGTTGCTATTGTTGACTTAGCCTCCTCTGTTGTTATTAGTTTTGGTAGGTCTTTTTTAGGCGCAGCAGTTGTTGTTGACTTTGATTTAGTATCATCGGTGGTTGTCTTGGCTGAGATAGTTGTTAAAGAGTCTATTTCAGATGTCGATAGTGTAATAGCCTTGGTTTTTGGTATGCTTGATTCTGCTTTCTGTACTTCCACTTGGTTAGTATTCACTTTCGTTGGAGTTAGTGGTACTGAAGATACCTTTTGTATGGGTGCCTTACCCCCTGTTGTCACTGTCGAAGGTGTTGTCTTTAGCTCGATGAGAAGTTCCGACTTGAGTTTGGGTGTCGTTGGTGTCTTTATATCTGTCTTTGTTTCCTTGGGCGTTGTTGGGGATTTCGGGACTTCCTCTTCCAAGAGCTGCTCCTGTCGCTCGTTGAAGACCTTTTTGCGATTGGTCATGTACAGTGTTTCCCTGGAACCAATTTGCGACCAAAAGTCCTCACCGCTCTCAGATTTTTGGATGGCCTTTCGAATGGGTTTGGGCGTGGCCACGCCCTCAACTTTGGCCTCAGTTTTGGGTTGTTGTAATTCCTGTTTGTTGGCCAGATCATTTTGCTGTATGGCTGCCTCATCAAAGGTGAAAATCTGTGCTTCACTGACATGTTGCTGTTTTGGGGCCTTCTTCAGAGGCGATGTCTTGGCCGTTTTCGGGGCAGCCTTCATGAATCCTTCGGGCAGAGAAGACGACGAGGATTCCTCTTCCTTTTGATCCTTGGGCCCTGTCTTTTTCTTGGGCAATTTGAAGACCTTATGTATCTGATGATGCTCCTCCACGGTCTCCACATTCACGGTGAACTTTGGCTTGGGACTGGGGCTTGGGGTGGAACTGGAACCGGAACCGGAAATGGACACCAATGGCTGCACCAATAGGGACTCCTCGTTCAACTCCAGGACACTTGGCATGTGATCCACTGGAATCTGAGGGGCATTTTCCACCTCCACAATGGCGGTGATCTTGTGGCGCATTTTCTTGCTTTTCTTGGAACGCCTTTTTGATCTCTCCTTGTGATCCTCATCGTTTGTGGTGGTGCTATCGTGACTGGATCTACGCTCCAGATGGATCAACTGGAAGGTTCCGGAATTCGATTTCTGCAACTTGTTCAGTATCTCCTGTTCTTGTTCCTGAATAATGGAGGCCCTACGTCTAAGTTCCCCTGCATTCAGATCATCATCGATCTTATCCGATGAAATATCCTCGCAAATGTCATGAAATGTGGGGCATTGCACCAGGCTCAAACGTCTGATGGTCTCCTGCATTTCCTCTAGATCTGAACCCTCCTTATCAAGTTCCTTTTCGTCTTTTGGTCTTATTTCAGCCTCCTGGTTTTGGGTTTTCTGAGCAGTTTGTGGCTGACTAAGTTCCTGAACTCTGGCCTGATTGAAACTGGGTAGTTCCTCCTTCTCATCACGTATGTAGAATCTCTCACGAAGCAATTCTCCGGGTGATTTCTTATTGCTGGTTGTGGGAAAGGCGGCCAATTCTTCTGCCAACTTTTGGCGCCAACTCAAACTGGGTTCTGTGGCAGGGGGTAAGTCCCTGAATTGATGTTCCTGGACTTGGGCCTCCTTCTTGGGACTCTCGGCACTGCGTTCCTTGCTGCGTCTTCGTATGGTGGAGAGTCTTACGACAGGGCGATTTCTTTTGATGGTGGACCTGCGATTGGGTCTTGTTTGGGCATTGGGATCTGGGTTTTCGGGAGGTGCTTCCTTGGGCGAGGGTTTAACCTCCTCCTCCTTTTGCTTAACTTCCTCCTTCGGTGGCTCCTTCTCCTTTTCTTTTTCTTCCGTTCTGGTGGTCACACCCCTGCGATATCTCGAGGAACTCACATCGATATCAGCTGTATTAATAGCTATAGGTCTGGCTGGTATATATCGACTACTGGCACCAGATGAAGTATAACTTGGAGTGGTCACCGATGTACTGTACTTTGGTGAATTGATTCTGGTGAGGGGCATCAAACTCGAGTGACCACTGTGCCTGCCCGTCTCCGTGATTGTGGTCAACTTCGGTTGATATCTGGAGCCCAAGCCATGGAGGGAGCTACTTCCGCCGGAAGTGCCGCTGGTATAGCTACTCGGCGATCTTGGAGAGGAGGGACTCAGGGGCACCATATAACTAGCCGGATACGAGCGGTTATAGCTGGACGTATAGCTCGATCCGGGCGTTGAGCCCAGACCCAAATTGAGGCCCAAACCGGAACTATAGTACGGCGAATACAGTTGGCTGCTGCCGCCACTATAGTAATAGTTGGTCGAATCCGAATACAGAGGCATCTTGCCGCAGTCACTCAAACACCACAAAAAATAAAATAAAACAATTCACAGCACACGAACAAAAACGTTCGAATTTTTGTTTGCTTATTTTCCGGCGCTTTTCCGCTGTTTTTAGCTCAATTGTTTCCTTCGGTTCGTTTAGGCTCTCATATTTTAATCGTAATTACGCTGTTTTCGAATGGGCATATAAATATCTTTGTCTAAATGGCACAGTGGGCTTAAATTTTAATAGAACACTACCTCAAAAAAAAATATTGGTATGTTTTAGTTACAACTTATAGCATTTTTCAAGTTATATTAAAAAACTAGGTTAAAGATAACTAAAATAATGAAAAAATAACTAATACACATTTATATGTAGAAATGTAAAAATTATTTGACTTTGGTATTGAATAACTGATAAAGAAAAACTATAAAGTCCAAGAATTCCATATTCTATTTCAATATTTTTCGATGTATTTCATCATATGTGGTTGTTATTTATTTTAAAAATGGTAATATTGAGTAAACCTAATTTAGATAATGTATTCTTTAAATATTTATTTTAATCAGAAATTTTTTTTTATGTGCCGTAAAATATTTAAAGCAAATTGACTATCATCTAAATAATTATTTTCTACTTTGATTTACATGTTTTCAAAATAAATCAAGCAATATAATATGTCTTGTTTCTAATTTAATTGAAGTATGTAACACGAATAATATGCCAATACTCATTTTCACAATTCCATTTTTCCAATACAGTGATACCACTGTACTTCCCCCTTTGGTCATTTGTCTTGAACTAATTAAAGCAATGCTATTGCCCAACTTTTCAATTCTAATTCGATTTCCGGCTAAGCCAACTCGTTGTCAATAACTCAATTTAATTGCTGAGGCTAATCCCACATATAATTGGGCAAGATGATAAATTTAGATTGGGAACGGGCAGAGATTCAACCATAAATTCGGTGGCACTTCAGTTTATTCTTCACAGGTTAACGCTTGCTTGAAATATGTATGTTTGGGGGCTGCCGTAGGAATGTACAAGTGTACCTACATGCATATATTTTGCCCTCCGATGCTGCCGCAGTTTAATTATACAATTTTTAGAGATTTCAAAACGGCTGTCATAATGTGCCAGCATTTGGCAATACCGAAGTCACATTAATTATAGCCTAATTGGCCAAAAGGTTTAATTCCCCATGATCGAACGAACCGTCCAATCGAAATTGAACCGAAGCAGCCAAATTTCTTGCAGATTTCCGCATAATTTTTTTTAGCAATTAAATATAGGAAATGGACATAAATATTGTAAATATTGGGTTCAGGGAAATATTTTTTTTACTCGCCTGATATTAAAAAGTGTGATTTAAAATATGAGGAAATTCAGAAGTAGACAATACTTTAATGATTATATTTGCTTTATATAATGCTTTATAATTTTGCAAATACGTCCATTTCTACTTTATTTTTTACCACCTTTTATAAATCAAATTTTTATAGCATTCTTTTGAATACATTGTATGCCAAATCATCTTAAGAGGTCATAAAAAAGATTGATAGTCATTTTAATTTCTTTGAAAAATGAAAGCTAATCAAATTGTTTATTGAACTTGATAAACAAAGTGTTTCCTGGAATATTGTGTGCCTCAACCGATATTGAAAATTTCTCCAAAACCTAGATTTCTAAAGAAATGGAATTGAAAGCGAATTGAAATTGAACTGTCATTGCCTGAAGGTCAGCTGGAATCGATGGCTTTTCAATTATTTCAATGGACTTTTCTCGCCCGATATATGTTTATTATTGGCATTCGCCTTTGCCCACATGTGCCATATAGAAATAGATATATAATCCGATGTAGGAGATAAATTTTTTCGCATGACGTAAGCGCTCACGAGTCATTGTCTGCCATTTTCCTCAGCGATTTTTCACGCATAAATTGCTGACAGTTTGTGTTGAAACCGTTTTATAATTATATTTTTTATATTTTTGTTAGCCACTTCAAACGCAAGATGCGTTGTATATTCCTTTAGCTTGGGATATTTTGTTTGTAATACTTTTTTTTAAATTGTTATGGTTTTTACCGTCAACGCGAAAGGAGAAAAAAATAAGGAGCTAACTCGACGTGGCGAACGCATTAACGGAAACTACTGAAATGTGAAAGGCAGCGCAGAAAATTTTCAATTCCGATTCCTGAACTCACAAATACACAGACGTCGATTTTCACGGGAAAATTCGAAGTCCGTCTGTGTGAGAGAGAGGCTAACTTGGCGGCACAGTATCTGTATCCGTGCGTCTGTCTATCTTGTATCTGTATCTTGTGCGCCCTCTGCATCTGTATCCGTGTTGAGGCACGGGCACAGGCCCAGATCACCGTTTTCCTCTTCATCTTTCGATCATCTCTACGTGTCTGCCAATTTCGAAATATGCCCCTCAGAATTTTCAACACACACACACACACACACCCACTTCTATGGTGTGCCATAAATTTCACACGAAGGCGAGCGGTTTTTCGAATTTCGAAAAAGCATCAAAAAAACACTTTTGACGTGTTTGAAATTGCCGTTCATCGTTTTTGCACAGCGAAAGTAAAAGCGAAAAGCGAGAGAGTGAGAGCGAAAATCTTAGTATCTGAGAGATACAAAAGAAAATGTTGAGAAAAGAGAGCGGGGCTGTCATAAAATATGCGGAACAATTAACTAAAATAAGTATGAGAAAATTCTATTCCACTTGTTTGTAACAGAAAAAGTAAGATCCAATGTAAGAACATTTTTACAATATTATTTTGTATAGAGATGGGGAGGAAATATGCCAAATAATGCTGTGGAAAAATGTAGATTTTTTAATTTAAACAGAAAAGTAATGGTCCCCATAAGACATCATAAAAACCTTTAAGAAACCCTAGCACAGAAAAGGATACAAAATTTTCTAGAACTGCTCCCTTTTAAAAGAAGAATGAGTTACATTTTAGAAGATACTGTCAAAATGGGGTATCCCCAAAATATTTAATTCCAAATATATAAGTAAAACCGCAGTTTTTACAAGCTAATAAATTCAATTCAAAGGGTGGACAAAACGAATTAAATCAAGACAAGATAGAAATAGATAGAAAAAGAGAACTAGAAATGTGGGATGGCTGTCGTAAAACGTGTGACCAATTAATTGTCACTAAAATGTATATAAGCCATAAATTAAACGAATTAGGCAAGTGTAATCAAACATCAAAGTGTTCATTCATGCAACGAATGGTAAAAGGTCTTTTTCAACAAATTATAGATCTCTGGATTAAAAGAATCCCTTAAAAAGTGGGAAAAAGAAACTAGAAACTAGTTTATAAAGATATATGTAAAATAAGTGACAATAAATATAAGAAATCAAGTTTTTCTAACATCTGGAACCTTGAAAACATATACTTTTCATGTGTACTTGTATAAAACATTATGGAAAAACATAACAAAATGAAAGACAGATGTTTTAACCTTTTTAACCTAAGATTAAAATATTTTTAAAAATATTTTTATATCAAGAACCAAAAACTCTCAAAAACGTCGGGCAAGATTTTCGCCAACATGGACTAAAGGTCCTCCTGGGCGATCATCAATCTGCCTGTTGGTAGCACCTGCTATCAAGATGTTTGGCTAAATTTGTCCATCCCCCCGACGCGAGGAAATCGAAAACAAATGCCAGAAATGCCGCACGTAGGATGTATCTCACATGAGAGGTGCCCGTAGCACTCGAAATCGTACATGCGATGCTAATGGTGACGCTTTTCGGTTCCGCAAAGTACATTTATAGACCCGCTGGCAAGAGGAAGAGCTTGGAAAGCGCCAAACAACTAGAAATAGAACTGCAATATGCTCTTCTCTTCTATTTTTTTTTTTTTTTGGTTTTTTCTGCTGCCTCAGTACTTAATCTTCGCGATTTATAGTGCAGGGGTTGGGGGAGATCGACGGAATATATATTTCTGTGCGATATTTTTGCCACTGCATTCCTGTCCTGTCACTCGCAAAAGTGCTTAGCCATGGGATTACTCTTTCACTTAAAAAAGCATATTATTTTTAATAGTGTATGGGTGATTAGTTTTAGTGTCATATCACAAATATATTGTCGTTTTAGAACCCATTACGTGCTATTTTTATAAGAAAAGTAATGTGACAGGTATTTAAAAGGCAGGGTTTTCTATGAGTGTTGAAATTTAATTTTAGAAAACTCTTTTCAATAAAAAAACCTATATACCTACTTTATTTTAACGCCTATAGTTTGCAAAGCTTTATGATAACTAATGATATGCCGCTATAAACTTTAGATTCTTTTAATATATTCATGTTTTATTTTATATAATAAAATAAAAACTATGAAAACTATGCACATAAATTAGAATATATTTCATGAAGAAACCCCAAAACATAATATTGTCGATATAATTTTAGTTCCTAACTTGGCAGATCTATAGAGATTAATGTAGAATGTAGAATTTATTACATGAAAAAACCCCAAAACATAATATTGTCGACACAATTTTAGTTCCTAACTTGTCAGAACTCTAGAGATTAATGGGTATAATCCCAGTTGATCATGACAGGATTTTTTGTTGGCTGCGTTGATATTTTCGACTTGTTCGGGACGCCATGTTTTTTCCCCTTTTTCTCATGTCTTCTGTTGGCAAAGTCGCAATAAATTGATTTCTAATGCAGTCTGGCTATCTGTCTATCTATCTATTATATGCACCGATTTCAGCTTAATCTGGCTTTCGCATTATTTCCGCTTTGATCGCACACACAGCGAGTGAAAGTATTTTTTCCTTTGTTCGACGAATAAAAAAGAGCCAAAAATATTGCACAATTTCATGCAGCTGCTTAATGTATGGTTCTCGTTTTGGTTGACAAAATTACGACACCATTGAAAGAGTTTTCGTATATTTTAAGTGGGTTTCGTTTTAATTGCACTTCCAGCAGAGCAGTAATTTTATTAAATTACCATTTCATATGGGTACAACTGTATCACGTATACGCAGTGTTGGCTTGGAATAAATATTTTTGTCACAGGAAGAATATTTTATTTGGGAGAATTTCGTTAAATGGGTCACAAATATTAAATATCATAATGGGATACTGTTGAAACATTTGCGATTCTGGAAAATGGTATTTCATTTTTCAGTTTCCATGTTGATATGTAAAAGAAACTGATACAAGTGTTCAGGGATGTTTCATAACATTATTCCAATAAATTTTTACACCGATGAAAGTAAAACATTCTAAGCCGAGGAAAACCCAGTAATCATTAGGGATTTACCACTATTTGTATTACTTAGTACCCCTCATAAGTTTTGACCGTTACATTTTCTGGTGGGGAAGAAAAGCACTACATTCTGAGGTTGGTATAACCACTAAAAAAGGGAAAGCTCTTGATAAAAAGCTCCGCGGTTTACCTCTGGCACAGATGGTGCCACCTGGCGAAAGCTCGAGAAGATATAGCCAATGTAAAAATCGCAACAGGATAAGGTAATGCAAATAAAGGCTTTTAAAATAATAGCAAATCATACTCTCTAAATAAATTTAAAAAAGTCAAAAAAGATTCAACAAGTTATGTTCACGTGGTGCTTACATAAATTAGTTTTCTTAGGGGATTCAAAATTAAAAGTTGCTTTCTTAGATTCATTAAAAAAATATTTCATTTAAAAACAGATTTGCTGGTAGAAAATTCCATAAGGGTATTTTAAAATGTATAACATTTCATGGCGGGACAGTTAGAAAATGATATTACGATAATTTATAACATATTTTACTAAAATTTAAGTGTAATATGATTTGCTTTTATTTTAATTGCCAAAACTTAAAGATACAAATATCACATAAAACGGATGCTGAAGAACTCACCTTCACATTTTAGGCCCTGAATAAAGAATCCTCCCATCAACGAACCGCAATGGTCACAAAAAGTTGGTGACATAAATGTATGGGGCTTGAACCGATGTGGCATATCAATCTTGAAGCGTTCTCGAAGTAACTTAATTGGTGAACAAGTAGTACAGAAATTTAGATATGAATTTTATAGGCTTATATGAGTTAGGAACCTACAATTGTACTGGCAGAGGTGAAAACGGATCCGGAACACTTTCCCAACAGCTTATCATGGCACTTTTTATGCACCACCGTCTGGCAAACTGGAAAAGAAGTTTTAAATTTAAAAAATATTGGAGTTTCAAGATAGTTAGTTCAACTTACTTATGCATTGGTAGCCTTGCTTGCCAAATCCCCAAAGGAATAAATTACAGAAGGCACAAAAGGTGGGCTGGCGAAAGAATTTCGCGACAAAACGATGACCATTGATGTCGTGGGTTCTGTAAAGATAAAGAAGTTATTATAATATTATAAACAAAAATATTTTGCAATTCTAAAAACATTCCATAATGATTTGTATATCCTATATGTTAACTAAGCTTATATTAGTTGAAGGTAATAGTAAATTTAGTTTCACAGTAGAATTAAATGAATTATGCATATAAACCAGTTAAATATACGTGTAGACTTAGCTCTTACAGTAGAATTAAAGAACTATAAACATTAAAATACTACAATTTTTAACTTGTAATTTTTGAAAATTAGTGCAGATATTAACATCGCCATTCTAAAAGAAATTTTGCTAATACAGATTTTTGATTTACATACAGAATATTAAAAATTATAGGGCTTTGTACATTTTCTTTAAAATTAATAACATAAAAGTATTCATTGTTTTAAATTTTACTCATACAGAGAGTACATATACCGTGTAAGTACATTTTGGTATCAATGTTCTCAATATTGGAACGAAATGGTAAGAAGAGAAAAGTTAAATTGAGTTTACTTAACAGCTTTTTAATAGGTATACACTATGGACTGGACTAATAGTATAGTTGTTGAGATATACAAGTAAATAACTCCAATTTAACTTAATTCAAGCACAATGAAAACCATTTTCGGCTTCAAAACTTTTGTTATATTTTTAAGCATATTTTTAACTCAGATGAGAACTTCAGAATTCTTTCTACCTTATTAGCTGATTATTTTATTATCTGTATATCTACTGTTTTGTATTAAAGAATCAATTGCAAGTTATGTTACTAATCTTAAAATGTTTCTTATAACTATTTTAAAACTATGATAACTAATATAAGTA